TTCCGCCAATAGGGGTTTGACGGCTGTTTCTATCCTTTGATGGAATATACCTTCGAGGATATTGCCAGCGGTATGAAGCATGCAGAGAGAGAGAGAGAGAGACAGAGAGAGAGAGAGAGAGAGAGAGAGCGAGAGAGAGAGACAGAGAGAGAGAGAGAGAGAGAGAGAGCGAGAGAGAGAGACAGAGAGAGAGAGAGAGAGAGAGAGAGCGAGAGAGAGAGACAGAGAGAGAGAGAGAGAGAGAGAGAGCGAGAGAGAGACAGAGAGAGAGAGAGAGAGAGAGAGACAGAGAGAGGGAGAGAGAGAGAGAGAGAGAGAGCATCTTTGTCCAGCATCCTCACTCTCTCCGGTAATTCATTATACATTTTCAGGCCTTTGTACAATACGTCATTTTGTCCATAGCTGGTTTTTGCCTTTTCCACATTCACATTTTTACTACCACGCATTATCATACAATTTTCATTCACACTAATCGTACCTTCTATTTCCTTATTCGTTACCATTTTATGCACATATTTCAGAAGATTTAATTTCACCCTTTGCTCAACAGATAAGAACCCTAGTGCTTCCAGCATATCACTGACTCGCACCCGCTTCTCGCAATGCAAAATACTTCTCATTGCTCGGTTCTGCAATTTTTGCAGCGCTTTTACGCTGCTATCATTCATCTGGTAAATTAGCGTGCTGCAGTATTCGAAGTGGGGAGCAATGATACTTTTATAAACAATATTTCTTGCCATCATACTGATATACCCGCCTATTCTATTCAATACTCCTATCTTCTTTCCTACTTTTCTTACCAAATACTCCTGATAGGGTTTGAAAGTCAACTTACAGTCGATAATTATCCCTTAATATTTAATTACCGACACGCGTTCGAGTTCAGAACCATTTCTACACTTCACTGTAACTTTATTACCTAACTTTTGCCTCATGTGACTAAAAACCATAAACTTTGTTTTTGTTACATTAATTTTTAGTTTGCTTTTTCCAAAATATTCCTCCATTGTATGAAGTCCTTCATTTAGTTTGTTTTCTATAATTTGTGAGCTTTCACCACATACATATAAAACCATACCATCTGCAAAAAGTCTTATTTCACAATTCTTCCCTTTATAGTTTAGGATATCATTAACATAAATTAAAAATAGCAATGGACCTAAAACTGATCCCTGCGGAACTCCATATTTCACCATAATCTTTTTCGACATCCCAGATCTGTAGTGAACACTCTGTGTACGCTCAGATAGATATGATTTGAACCATTTCCAGACTTTCTCGTCTATACCATAATTTCTCATTTTCCGTAGCAAAATCTCTCTATCTACAGTCTCAAAGCCTCTTTTTAAATCTATGAAAATTGCCCCAACAATTTTTCCCTGATCTATATATCTTTTCCAATTCGAAATTACATTTTGTACTGCTTTTTCACATGACTTATTTTCCCTGAAACCATATTGTTCCTTTATTAATATATCATTTTTTTCCAAACAATACATCAGCTGTTTGGCAACTATTTTTTCTAATATTTTTTCATACTGAGGCAACATGTTAATGGGTCTAAATTCTTTTGCTTTTGTTGTATTTTTTTATTTTCTGTATCGGTCGAATTTCTGAGTGCTTCCAGTTAATAGGAACATATCCTGACTCTAAAGAATCATTATATATCTGACATAGAGGTTCTCCTATTATATGTATCACTATGTGACGGCACTAACCAACGTGAAACTCAAAACTTGAAATATAAACCGTAGACTTATCCATAACTCGATGCGAAACTCAAAACAGCCGGAGTGTTGTCACCTTCGGCCTCTGCTCCTCGATGTCCCCACGAAAATCCTCGAAAACCGAATAAATGAGATAAACGGGAAAACGAGGAAAATGCTGTCGGGCGCCAGCTGACTTTTGTTCCAGCGGTGTCCACAAACCGCATTAAAGAGAACCATACGAAAACTTAGCCATAATTGGGGAGATCGAGGGAGAGGTTGCGGAATTAGCTCGACTAGCTCGGAGGTATTCGGAGAGCGGGGTAGGATCGGTCGCTCGGTCTTAGGAAGGATGTCGCGAATTTACCAAAAGATACAGAAAAATCAAAAGGAAGAATCAGAAAATTGATTGAATAGGGGATGAGATAATTACTTTAAATTTACTCCGTGTTTTATTCAATTTCTCAATAATATTCCAACTCAAATAGAATTTCTATTCTTCATAAATAAAATAAATTAATTTCAATTAAATTCAACAGAATTAAATTTAATTAAATTCCCGAGAGTGAGAGTACGTGAATTGACCTTGAGAGAGAGGTTATCGCGAAGGGAATGGGAGGTCCGAAAAGTCCAAGCCAACGATCTCTCCGCATCGTCTAGAAACTGGAGTGCTGGAGGATCCGACGGCTATATCAATTCCGATGCGATGATCTCGGCGAATCTCCTCAGACCAATAAATGACAATGAATGGGCGAGGGACTCAAGTATGCAAATGTCACTTAAGAGTGCCATTTTGCCCCATATTCGAGTCCGTCCTCCATCAAGGGCGTCGTAGCGTCACAGGGAAATTCCTGGGGCTCGCGCGCTTCAATGTCGTGATTTTCGGGGTCTCGTCTTCCAAGAAATCTTAAATTAATCAATTGAAACCTTGGGGGAACTTTACTGAGCTAGAAGAGCACTCATTTGAGGCTTCAATTCGCTCTGGAAAGAGGAAAAACCGCCATGTGCACTACGGCGTCACCCACGGCACGTGAGGCGCATGTGTGCACTTATAGGCCTGTTTTATCCACTTTTTCCCACTAGGATTGGCACTGGACATTCCCCATACGTTCTCGAGGGTCCTAGTGAACTAATTATGCACTCCGAAGGTGCATTAATTGTTCACCGGACCTCCTGGTGAATGGAGAGGGCACAATGGCGTCATGGCAGGGCATGGGCCATGTGCGGCCTTTTATTGGGGTCTCACTGTCCATTTTCACTATCTCTTGGGTTTCACTGGGGTTTTATCACTCGGGAGAGGTCTGGAGAGCCGAACGAGGGTTTTATGCACTCAGAGGTGCATTTATCCACTCGCCCGGAGGAGTTTTGGTGGTTGGGAATGCATCTCGGCGTCACTCTGGTAACCGCCGGTGCACTTTTCCCGGAGGTTATCACTGGGCACACTGGGAATAGATGCACTTCTCTCCTCGGGAGAGAGTGCACATGGTGAACAAAAATGTACTTACCATGTTCTCGTGTGGGCCCTCGGCGATGGTCTCCACCAACTCTCCCAATCGTTGCAGATGTTCTCGGGGATGTTGTCGCAGTGGTTGCTCGGGTCCAACTCTCTCGTAAACTGCGTCTAACCGGCGGAGGTTCTCAGCTGGGTGGCGCGACTGGCACGCCGTCTAACTGCCGCTGGGGCGGGCTCATGTAACTGAGCACGCGGGGATTTTGATTCAAATGGGTTTTAGACTTATTTTAGGCATTCCGCCGTTAATTATATCTTTTATGAATTAACCCAAGGGGTTTTTATCCATAGTGGCTGAACGATAGTTATCTGGAGGTTCGGAAAGGGGGAATTAAGGCAGTTGTTCGCCTTTTCTCCTCGCGAATGCACTTCACCCCTGAGTGAGTGCACTTTTCGCTGCTGTCACTCTCCCGGGAGTCATCCTGGAGTCACCGTGAATACATCTAAAGAGAGAATAGCCCATGGCGATCCATGCAGACGAGTGGGCTATGTTCATCCACATGGCCTTCCAGCTGCACTGGTGATTCCAGCGACTCCACGAAGTGCCTTCGCCAGGGAGCGTGAGTATTTCACCTCAACCTCTGTGATCAGCAGCCGCACTCGACGAGATCAGCGAGATCTCACCGGGAAGCTCGGTGTATCGGCTCTGAACCGCGGTGGATCGTCGTCCCTCTCAGGATTCGCGAGATTTCAAAATACAAAAACATAACTAGGAAAATACAATTATTGTAAATTTTCCCTTAACCATAAAACCGAAAATCAATCCCCTGAAATCCAAAATAAACCAGAAAGATAACTGAAACTAAAAGAGAACAAAACTTTAATATGACTTGAACCGGAGATTTTACTTTTTACTCGTTTTTAATGTGTATCGACACGTGAATTTGATTATTTTTAGAAATCGAACGTTGTTTTCCCCGCGAGGCCCTTCCTGATGTTCTTGGAGACTGGTTTTTACGAGCTGGAGCTAAAAGGGGTGTTGCATCGCCCTTCGGTAGGGGTGCGAACTTTGGGGGTTAAGGGAATCGCGACTCTCTCTCTTCGAAAAGATCAAAATAAATTCACACTTACCTACTCACTCTTATGATTTACTTAATTCTACGACTAAGTTATATACAGGTGGCGGAATTCTCGAAAATTCCGTCACAGGCCTCCCTCCTTCTCGTTCCCTATCCGTTGTTGTCCGTGCATCTGGTGTTGAGGTGAAGGTCCCTCTGTTGGTCTAGGCTCCACTAGCCGTGCGAACGTCTGATGGAGTGGAAGAGAAGAGAGAAGTGTGCTGGGAATAAAAGAGAAACCGAACCCACGCCCCTAAACCTGGGGTCGAAAGAAAATGTAGGCTACACGCTAATCTTCCTTGGAAAATACGGAGCTCCTTTTATTCTCCTCTCTCAGGGAGGTACAGTTTACCCTATCCTAATTCTTATTGAATACTCTATGGTGCTTATGACTACGTCAGGTGGAGAGTCACAGTCCATCTGGAAGCCTGAGGCATCAGTCGTGGTTTCTTCGAGGACTGGAACTCTATCACAGCTAGTACAGTCCATGGGGCTTTGACGCCTTGGGGTTTGGGCTTATTCCGTTCCGGGGAAAAGCCCTCTGGACTTGAAGATGATGCTTGTGAGTTGGGGTCCCGCTGATTGAGGAGCGGTCGGGGTCCGCTGCGACTCAATCGGAGAGGTGAGGGTTTTGGGGCCACTACTCAGTTGAGGGGCTCCTTTCGGAGTTGTTGGACTTACGGATGGGGGGGAGTCTGCCCCTTGGCCGCCACTGCCTATGGGCACCTAGTGCCTTCTCGAGGACTCATGTCCTCGTCGCGGCGGAGACCGACGTGATGAGTCTTGGCGTTGACGATGGTCATCCTCATGACGACGGTGCTCGTGACCTCGCCGGTCCCCGTGGTGGTCATCACCTCTCTCTGGTCGATCGGGGGAGTAGTGATCTTCCCTCGAGCGTCGCCTTCGAGGCTCATCGTCACGGGCACCTCCGGGGGGTGAACGTCGTCTCCTTGGTGAGCTGGATGGTCGGTCCTCCCTCATGTAGCTCTCTGTCAGCTGCTGAGTGAGGGCTTTCACGAGGCTCAGCATAGCCTCGGCGGAGGGGTTTGGTGAGCGCTTCTGCTCTGACTCAGTTGAGTGATCAGAGGAGCGTCTTTGCCTGGGGGAAGGTCGCCTCGACGGGGAATGCCTTCGCCTTGGCGAAGGATCTCGTCGAGGTCGTGGAGATGTTGGCCGAGTTCTCTGGGTCGGTCTCTCGGGGGATCGTCGACGTGGGGATCGACGAGCCTGAGAGGGTTCCTGGCGAGGTCTCTCGGGTTTCGCCCTCCGTGAGGTACGCTGAGGGTCCTTGGATTGGAGAGCAGGGACTATTCTCCACTCGCCTCTGAGGGGCGAGGGACTGCGGTTGGTGTGTGCCATGTGTCGGTACCGCAGCCTTCCCCTGCCTCTTCCTTTACTCAGGGCTGCACAATGCATGTCCCACTGAGGTTCAGGCATGGGTGGTGGAGGTCCTGCTGGGACTTTTGGGGGTGGTTGCATTACCTGAGGGGGTGCTACCTGTGGGGGTGCTGCCTGTAGGGTAGGAGCACTCTGCCCAGTTGATGCACCGGCCGCTGAGGCTGCGGCGGCTGCGGCTTGGCGTGCGATGGCTGCCTCGATCCGCTTCTGCCTGCCTCCCCTCCTTGTGGGTCTCTTCCTCTTCCCTGGGGCTTCGATGCTGGGTGTCTCCTCGTTGTCCCAGTCATCTAGGGGTGAGGAGTATAGAAGGTATAGGGGGTGAGGGCGATCTGGTCGGGTCGCCTGACTCTCCCTCCGGCGTGTCGCTCGAACCTCTCGCCACCTCATCTCCTCTTCCACTTGATCGGCCCAGGAGGTGGAAAGCGGATGGTTAGGTGAGGGCCAGAGAGGCGGTACTACCCCGGGGGCGGCCCTCTCAGCTGAGGACCCTGTCGTGGCGGTCGTGGAGTCCACCAAGGTCCTGGGTTTCCTGATGGCTCCCGTAGACGCTGCGGGTCCCGGGTTTTGATAAGCTGGGGGTGCTACTGGCTTCGGGAGTGCCCCTCCACTACTCGACGCTCCGGTGAGTACCTCCAGCTGTCGGTCGTCCTCCGTCACGTCCATCAGGAGGAGATCGGAGTTTGAGTCGACCTCTGGGGTCGAGGAGTTCGGGGGCTTGAACTCACTCAACGTCATTGTGTGTAGGCGGTTAAGAGGGATTGAGACCTGGATTTCTGGGCGTCCTTCTGGCTGTTTCGGTCGGTGAACATCTCGGAGGCGCGGAGCCGGTTGAGATGAGGCGACTTCTGTCGTTGGGGTCTCTTCTCCCTCTTTAATGGGCTGGGCTTCCGCTATCTGGGCGCTAGCACGATGCTCACACTCCAACTTCTCCCCCCGGGAGTCTGTTGAGTTCTCCCGGTCCCGCCTCGGTGAGCGTGATGTAGTGGAGTTGTCGGAGGGGCTGTCTTCACTGCTGCTACTGCTGCTGGAGCTCGAGCTACTGCTGCTTGAGCCGCCACTGGTGCTAGGCTCCAGAAATTGAGGCACTCTAATCCTGCCGGTAGCCAGGCGCAAGGTGCCTTTCAGAGCCCGAATGAGTCCTGGTAGCTTCCTGTCAAGCCTCCACAGGGAGTCCTTGTAGGGCTCCAACTTGCGCCACACCGAGGAATCCAGCTCCCGGGGCTGCTTCGATGGAGACCTTCTGGACGCTTTGATGTGTCGGCCCCTTGGACGTGGGGAACTTGTGGCTTGGTCTCGGGGTTGAGGGTCACTGGGAATGGTATCCTGGACGGTCTCCGCGGAGGAGTACTGGGAGCTCGATGGTGTTGACTCACCAGATGTCAATTCCTTCTCACCCGTTTGCTCAGGGTTAGAGTTGTCCAGGGAGCTGGCTTCACTCCGCTCACCTGGGATTATAGATGGGGCTGACAGGGGGCTAGGTGTGACCTGCTTACCTGCAGCTATCTCTCTATCCTCTTCCTGGATCTCCATGGGGCTAGACTGTTGTCCGTTTGCTGGGACTTTCCCACTTTCCCCCTCCAGAAGTTGATTTTGCCCTTGTGAGCTACTCTCATTTCCTTTTGGGGTCCCTGGGGCCACTGGAGTGGTTGGAAGTGTCATCAGGGAGCTAGGCTTGTTCTGCTCACCTGAATACTTCCCCAGGTCATTCAGGGAATCAGATGTTGGGGCGTCAGTCTCCATTCCCTCGAGGGGAGTGGGAATGATTTTGTGGGGGGCCTCCTGAGTTTTCTCGGTGTTCAAGAGTGCTGACTTCTCTGTCGGATCTTCTTGAACAACCAGGACTACTTGGGGTTCAGGGTCTTCCTCGAGGAGTTGACTTGGCGGGTGCTCGGGAACCCGCCTGGGATCCTCCAACAGGGTTGGCTGGGTCTTCACTCCTACTTCCCCGGTGTCCTTTCTCTTGTCCTTGACCCCTCTCTTCTTCTTTTTCTCCTTCGGCGCCTCCCTAGGCAGCCTCTTATCACCCTACAATCAATTCCAAAATAACTTAAAGAAAATGATGAACGAGTTATGCTTAAATATTGGGGGTGAAGAAGAGGTAGGTTAGAGGAAGAAGGTGTAGGGGTTTCTTTGGATGGTTCTAATCTTGCTCCAGAGGGGGAGTATAGGGTTTCAAGTCTTGAATCGACGAAACTCCCTTTTTCCGTCCACCCAGATCTACCAGCTCATATCGCGTGCTCGACAATTTTTTCTCGATCACATACGGGCCATCGAAGGGCCTTGCGAAAGCTGCTGAGAACCTCTTGGCTGCATTGGAAAGAGTGTGCGTCCTTCGGAGCCCTAACTCTCCAATTTCGAATTCTCTTCTTCGATGTCGTAGGTTGTAGTAGTGGGCCTGCCTGTCCTGGGCTTCCCTCAGGACATGTTTAAAGACTTTTCGTAGCGTCTCCAATCTCTTCATGCACTCAACCCATTCCTGGGGGTCGCATGGGATGGGCGCTATTTCTCCCTCTAACTCTCGTCTCAGTGATGCTGAAATTTGAGGTTCTCTCCCAAAATTTGCGAAAGCCGGAGATGCTTTTAGAGGGCTATGAACTGCGGTGTTGTAAGCGAAGCGAAACTCGTGGAGATGACGATCCCACTCGCGCTGATCATCATCCGTGAAGGCTCTCAGCATCATCTTCAGCACTCTGTTGACCCTTTCCACTGGATTACCCTGGGGGTGATAGGGTGGAGTATTCTGTAGGGTCATTCCTGTTTCCTTCGCTAGGGCCTTTATGTCCTTATTTACGAACTCCAGGCCGTTGTCTGAGTAGAAAAAGCGTGGTGTTCCCCATCTGGTGATCACATCTCGTTCGATGACTTCCCTGATCTTTCTTCCCGTTGCACTTCGTAGCGGAAAAACCTCTATCCACTTGGTGAAAAGATCCTGGATCACGAGAATATATTTTGATCCAGATTTACTAGGGGTAATTGGGCCCATGACGTCTGCGGCGATGGTCGTCCAGGGTTCAGGATGACCCACGTCCCATCAACCCTGCAGGAGCTCTCTGCTCCACCTTGCAGCGTTGGCAAGTGTCGCAGTGTGCTATGAAGGTCACGATGTCTTTGAGCATGGTGGGCCAATAGTACTTGAGGGAGACACGACAATATGTCTTGTCAACTCCAAGATGGCCAGCCTGAGGTGCATCATGAGCCTCACGAACTGCAATAGTTCGGAGCTCTTTTGGGAGCACTTTTGGGAGCACTAGCTTCCAGGCATCCACGTCTTCCAACTCTGCTGATATAAATACTCTCGGTCGGTGGGTGTACAGCAGCTCTCCCTCGATTTTCCAATCGGGGAACCTATCGGGAGCATGTTGAACATCTCGAAACCGACGAGTGTACCATTTATCAGTTGTCTCTTGCATCCGTTGTATCGTCTCCTCATCAGGGGCAATTGAGCCCTCTGGTGCTCTTGATAGAGCATCTGGGACGTGGTGTAAAGCTCCTTTCCTATGGATGATCTGGTAGTCGTACTCCAGCAGGCCCAGCGCCCATCTGGCGAGACGACCAGTTGGATTCCTCAGGTTGTGTAGCCATCGGAGACTACTATGGTCGGTGATTACCGTGAATGAGTAGCCTTCCAAGTAACAGCGGAACTTCCCGATGGCCCAAATCACAGCCAAACATTCCTGTTCTGTTACCGTATAATTTTTCTCAGCCTCTGTTAGAGCACAACTAGCGTAGGCTATGACACGCTCTTCCCCATCAATCTCCTGGGTGAGCACTGCCCCTATACCTACGCTGCTTGCATCTGTTTGGAGGGAGAATGGCTGGGAGAAGTCTGGGCAGGCGAGCGTCGGGGATGAGGTGAGATGTCTCTTCAAAGTATCCAGAGCTCTGGCCTGCTCCTCCATCCATTCCCAGGCTTGGCTTTTCTTCGTTAATCTCGTCAGAGGTTCAGCGATAGTTGCAAAATCTGGGATGAAACGACGGTACCAAGAAGCCATCCCTAGAAAACGGCGCAATTGCTTGAGATTCTGGGGTGCAGGGTATTGCAAGACCGCTTCGACCTTTTCGGGATCGATCTGCAATCCCGCACTGTTCACCAGAAATCCAAGATACTTCACCTGGGAGCAACAAAACTCGCTTTTCTCCCGGTTGATTACGAGTTGTGCATCCTTCAGTCTCCGTAGGACCTCCTCAAGCATTCTCAGGTGCTCGTCAAAGGTCCTGGAGATGATGATAATGTCATCCAGGTATACGTACACACTGGGGTGTAGAGAAATACCAACAATCTTATCCAATAGTCGCTGGAATGTTGCAGGCGCATTCGTGAGGCCATAGGGCATGCGCTTAAACTGGAACAGCCCACGACCTGGTACTACGAAAGCGGTAATCTCCCTTGATGACTCGTCGAGCTCAATTTGAAAATATGCTTGGCTCAGATCGAGGGTGGTGATGTAATGAGCTTGCCTCAGCTCATCTAGGATGCCAGTCATGTTGGGGATGGGGTAAGCATCTCGCTTTGTGACCGCATTCACCTTCCTGAAGTCGATGCAGAAGCGATACTTCCCATTTGGCTTCTTCACCATAACAACAGGGCTGGACCAGTCGCTTTTCGATGGTTCGATGATCCCTGCTTCCAACATGGTGTCCACCTCCTTCCACATTGCATCACGGAGTTTTGGTGTCACGTGATAAGGCTTTTGCCTTATGGGTGCACTCTCTCCGACGTCAATGTGATGTGAAGTGAGGGGAGTGACTCCAAAGGTGCCAGTGGATGGTGGAGGGATCGTCCTATCCAGGAGATCCTGAAGACGTTGAGTCTCATTGTCCTCCAACACTCTCAATCCACTGCACATGATGATTCGGCTGTTATTGATGATTGGTGCGAATGCGTAGGTCTCTTCGGGGTGCTCTCGGTACCACCAGCGCTCTCCGAAGAAATCTACTACGATTGCGCACGACCTAGGAAGTTCATGCCAAGCACTAAATCCTTCGTCAATGATGGAAGTAAGTACGCAGAATATTCCTTTTNCTCGGGATCGATCTGCAATCCCGCACTGTTTACCAGAAATCCAAGATACTTCACCTGGGAGCAACAAAACTCGCTTTTCTCCCGGTTGATTACGAGTTGTGCATCCTTCAGTCTCCGTAGGACCTCCTCAAGCATTCTCAGGTGCTCGTCAAAGGTCCTGGAGATGATGATAATGTCATCCAGGTATACGTACACACTGGGGTGTAGAGAAATACCAACAATCTTATCCAATAGTCGTTGGAATGTTGCAGGCGCATTCGTGAGGCCATAGGGCATGCGCTTAAACTGGAACAGCCCACGACCTGGTACTACGAAGGCGGTAATCTCCCTTGATGCCTCGTCGAGCTCAATTTGAAAATATGCTTGGCTCAGATCGAGGGTGGTGATGTAATGAGCTTGCCTCAGCTCATCTAGGATGCCAGTCATGTTGGGGATGGGGTAAGCATCTCGCTTTGTGACCGCATTCACCTTCCTGAAGTCGATGCAGAAGCGATACTTCCCATTTGGCTTCTTCACCATAACAACAGGGCTGGACCAGTCGCTTTTCGATGGTTCGATGATCCCTGCTTCCAACATGGTGTCCACCTCCTTCCACATTGCGTCACGGAGTTTTGGTGTCACATGATAAGGCTTTTGCCTTATGGGTGCACTCTCTCCGAAGTCAATGTGATGTNTGCACATGATGATTCGGCTGTTATTGATGATTGGTGCGAATGTGTAGGTCTCTTCGGGGTGCTCTCGGTACCACCAGCGCTCTCCGAAGAAATCTACTACGATGTGCGCACGACCTAGGAAGTTCATGCCAAGCACTAAATCCTCCGTCAATGATGGAAGTAAGTACGCAGAACATTCCTTTTCCAGGCTGTTCAACCTTCCTTTAAAATGGGCAATCCTGTCGACGTATTTTGTTTGTTTTGCACCGAAAATTATTCGACGAGGGGGTACCTTTTCGAGAGGTACTCTCGCCTCGCGGAGTATTTCGATGACTCTGGCCCCCACGAACGTCGACGTTGCTCCTGAGTCGATCAGAGCCCGTACTGTCTCTCCACATATCTCAATATCCACGTAGAAAGAGATAGCATTCATGTCCTTCGTAGCTCCTAAGAGGATATCAGGCTCGTCCTCGGGGTTGACAGTCTCTGGGGCTATCAAATCCTCCGAGTTAGTTCCAAGCTGCGATATGTCCTGCATCTCCGATAGCTCGTCCTCTGTCGAGGAGGGCACAAAGGGTGCAGGCACTGAGTCCTCTAGAAAACTTTCACTCATAGGCCTTCGACTCTCGATTTCACAAAGGGCGCAGTGAGCGCGCTTGGCCGTCACTGGCTTTGACACCGGTTTTCTTTGCCCGGGGGAAACTCTGACCGGTGGGACAGGTTTCCCTGGGCGTTTCCCGCGATGCAGTGTGGACATGTCTTCGAGGTGGAGCCGGAGAACCCACATTTGTAGCAGAAAATTCTCCTCGGCTCTGGACAGGCTCGATGACGATGTCCATTCTTCTTGCAGTTCCAGCAGAAGAGCTCCCCTACCTGTAATCCGTACAGGGGGTCTTCTGCCTCTTCTTCCTCCTCCAGCTGTTCGATGGCCTCAGTTGGCAGCTCTTGGTGGGGTTCCGCTCGTACTGCTCTAACAGGAACTGGTTCAACCCTTTCCCTCACCACTCGTGGAGCTGATCCTCGGGGGCGATCATATGAACGAGATCCCCGAGAGGAAGCTCCTGAACCTGTGCCTCGAGTATTTGACCTCGGGCGGAAGGCTCTAGCTGCGGCCAGGCCTTCCTCTGCGTCGGAAGGGCTGCCCCCTGGCTGGAAGTCGTCCCTGGGGTCCTCTTCAGCCTCGTCCCCGTCATCGTAGAGGTTGAGGGTCCTGAAGCTGACTCTCCGACTCGGGAACGTTTTTCTGTCCCGTCCCGTCGACTTGCTCTTGTAGGCGTAGCTAGGGCACATCGACTCCTCGGGTCTCGGTGGAGGTCGTCTGCGACTGGCTCCTTCCAGTAACCTCTCGTGACGTAGGGCCGCCATCTCGAGCTGGGCTATAGTCATTCCCTCATATAGGGGAATCACGCTGCTGTACCGAGGCAGCATGTTCTCGTGGGCATTCTGAATCTGTTCCCACGCAGACCACATAGGCTCCGTCCGAGAGAAGAGGCCGCTCATGCAGCCAAAGTATTCTCCGATGCTCTCGTGCTCTCCCTGAGTGCGCTCGGAGATCTCTCGACGCAGGACAATCTGGTAGTTGGGGCTGGCGAAGCGGATACGTAAGGACTGGCGTACCATCGGCCAAGTCCTGAAGTACTTGAATTTCCCACGGTACCAGATGAGCGCTGGTCCCGCGAAGCAGAACGGCAGCCCATTAATCAAGTTCTGCTCCAAGATGGGGAGCATGTTGAGTCCCTCCTCAATCCGATTGATGAAATCCTCAACGTCTTCGCCTTTGAGCCCTTTGAAGCTCAGGTCCCACTTGCGCATCGCATTAAACGTGGCTGCGGCTGAAAGTGGTTTGCCATTTCCCTGGAGAATCTCCTCATCCAGGAGACAATCGTCTAGCTCTTCTCGTTGCGGGTCAGGCCCGTCCCCCCGGTGCTCTCGGCGAGGATTCCTCGGGAGCACTTGAGTAGGAGCGTCCTGACTCGGCTGGGGTTACTGGTAGCGTTACTCTCTACTATCTGCCTTGCGATCTCCATTCTCTGGCAGGTTCGTGATGTACTGCAGAACTCTGGGGTCACGTGCATAGTCGTCCAGGTTCAATGCTTCTCTGGGGTGCACGTTGGATGTTGGACGGCGTCCGGGCTGCCTTTCAGCGTCTCCTCCGGGAGCTGGCGCCTCTGGTGACGTCCTAGCGTTGCCTCCTCTAGTCCCAACGTTAACTGAGGATGCCGCTCCCTGGGGAGGGGTTTGACCTCCACCCCGAGTTCCATCTTCGGCGTCCTGGTGTATCACCGCGTCGGCGACGATTACTTTTCG